CCCCTGCAATTGCTGAAGGTGTAACACCTGCCCATTTACCTCCTCCCTCCCCAGGATCCAAGGGCCCAAGCATACCTTCCAGGTGAAGCAGCACATTACCTGCATTTCCCACAATCTAGTCTACCGCATTCACTGCTCACAATGTGGTCTCCTCTATATTGGGGAATCATGTACGATCTGCCTGCAAAAAAGACCCTGAGCTTTAGCTGCCTGCCACTTTAGCACACCACCCTGTTCCCTGGCCAACATCTCTGTTTCAGGCTTGCTGCAGAGTTTCCAGTGAAGCTCAACGCAAGCTGGAAGAACAACACCTCATTTTCCGCACAGGGACCCTGCAGCCCTCCGGACTCAATATCATGGAGAATAATTTTAGGGCCTGAACTCTCCCATGTCCTAGTCCCCTACCACACACATCAGACCTTGTTATCACATAGCCTAACATTACACTCTACCTATTGTATATTAACAGCTATTCACCCTCCTAACTAGATTGTTATACCCTCCTTTTTCTTTCTAACTGTTCTCTCTCCTTGGGCTCTATCCCCACCTATCGCTTACACCTTATACCCTCCACCACACTATCTTCTGCATATACACTGACATTTTCCTAGCTACCATTTATTCTGAGGGAGAATCACCAGACCCAAAACGTCATCTCTGATTTTTCTTCACAGATGCTGTCAGATCTGCTGAGCTGTTCCAGCAACTTCTGATTTTGTTAGCCATTTCATTAGTTATTACAAACTGGTAATAGTTAGCTGTGTGAAGTAGAAGCAATTGCAAGTGATCTTAAAAGCTCACCAGTAGGGCACACTTTACAAATAAATTCCAAGACCTCATTGGTTACACAAGGGAACGGAGCTAATTTCTTCTCACGTTGAACTGTAAATATATGCCAGTATGTTCTTATATGCATTGCTGTCTTTCTTGGATCATGTGCTGGCATGATTTCATTCATTCTTCCACAATTCCAAGCTCCAGCTGTATTCGTCACAGAAGCGTGCCTTCTATTGGAGCAGGATTTGCTATCTGAAGGCCTTCTTATCCTGGTAGCTATCAAAGTGACAACTGCACAATTTTTTAAAATGCAATTAGCTGCTTCCAAGAATCTACTGGGGCCCTGTGTGGTATCGCTTAACCCTCAATTCACAAATGTATCAGGGCTGTGAATCTGTGGAAAATTTATGGCAGAGGACAGTACTGGTTAGGACATTAAGTATGTTCAAAGCTGAGATAGACAGATTTTTAATCAGTTCGGAAATCAAGGGTTATGGGGAAAATGCAGAGGTAGGTAGAGTTGAAGATTATCAGTTCAGCCATGATCTCATTGAATGGCAGAGCAGAATTGGTGGGCTTAATGGCCTAATTCACTTCTGCATCTTATGGTCTAAGGCTGTATAATTTATAAGATTATTGCTAGGTCTGATGATTATGGTAATATGACCGGTGGAAGACCAATGTACTGAAAAATAGAATATATAAAATTGTTGCAGAGATAGTAGGAACTGCCGATGCTGGAGAATCTGAGACAACAAGGTATAGAGCTGGATGAACACAGCAGGCCAAGCAGCATCTAGAAGGGTCTAGACCCAAAACGTCAGCTTTCCTGCTCCTCTGATTCTGCTTGGCCTGCTGTGTTCATTCAGCTCTACACCTTGTTGTCTCATATATAAAATTGTTTTGTATGGAAAAGTTTTCTGTTAATTTACATGGTTATAGCTTCACATTTGCTGTATAAATTAACTGTAGAGGGTGACCTTATTGAGGTTTATAAAATCATGTGGGGTAGGGTGAATAACCAAGGTCTTTTTCCCATGGTGGGAGAGTCCAAAACTAGAGGCTAACTAGAGGGTTTAAGGTGAGAAGGAAAGATTTAAAAAAAGACCTGAGGGGTCACTTTTTCACACAGAGGGTGGTGCGTGTATGGACCAAGTTGCCAGAGGAAGTGTTGGAGGCGGGTACAATTACAACATTTAAAAGACATCTGGATGGATAGATGAATAGGAAGGTTTTAAAGAGATTTGGACCAAATGCTGGCAAATGGGATGAGGTCAGATTGGCATGTCTGGTTGATCCAGACAAGTTAGACCAAAGGGTCTGTTTCCATGCTGTATGACTCTATGACTCTATCAGATTTTAACAGTATTACAGCCTTTTGATAATGTGTTGCAAAATACACTATATCGCCATTGCAAGACATAAAATGCAGGAAATTTACCGTTGTCAATATATTTGGTTAACGTTATATCTATGATTGTAAGTGACAATATCCATACAAAGGGGAATGAGTTTCTTAAATTCTCCTTTAGCTTACAGACATGACATTGATTGTGGAAAATTGCAAAATAAGTTGTGATTGCCAGTATGATTAAGAGTGTTCACTTCATGGTTTCTGAGAGTTCCCTGCATTGTATGTCTTGCAATGGTGATATAGTGTATTTCACAACACATTATCAAAAGGCTACAATACTATCACGTTCTGATAGAGTCATAGAATCATACCTCACGGTAACAGACCCTTTAGTCCAACTTGTCAGGACTGGTCAGACTTCCCAATCTGACCTCGTCCCATTTGCCAGCATTTGGCCCAAATCCATCTAAAACCTTCCTATTCATACACCCATCCAGATGTGTTTCAAATGTTGTAATTGTACCCACCTCCAATACTTCTTCTGGGAGCTTGTTCCATAATCCAAGAGCCATATCCCCAAACATACATTTGGCAGGTGTTACCAGGAGGTGGAAGCAGTCCTTGGCCTTGAGATCATTGGCATCCCTTTCTCAGGTTCCTCTTCCTTACTTCATCTTGCCGCAGGTGTCACTTCATAGAGGAGTTTCTTGCAAATCAGTTTCTTCTGAATGAGGGTCTCCCATGCATTGACACCTATGTTGCATCTCTTGAGGGAAGCCTTCAGGGAGACTTTGAAATGCTTCCTTTGTCATTGTCTCATTCAAGTATCATCCTAAGCACATAGCCAGTCCTGCCCATCCAACATTATAGAGCAGTTATTATGGAAGACTTCAATGCCCAAACATTGACTAGGATAATGATAGTGTATGGGACAGTGAGGGGCAAGTGTTTCTAGATTATGTTCAGGAGAGTTTCCTCCAGCAGTATGTGTCCAGTTCAACAAGAAAGAGCATTGGCAATAATTTTCAATTCCTCCACAGGAGACATGCCAGAAGACTGGAGTACACTGAATGTGGTACTCTTACCAAGAAATGAACCAGGAAACTACATGCCAGTCAGTCTAACCTCAGTAGTGGGGTAACTATTGGAAGCAATTCTTCATAATCTTCACATGGAAAAGCAGAGATTAATCAAGAATAGTCAGCATGGTTTTGTCAAAAGGAGATCACATTTGACCAAACTGATTGAAATTTTTTGATGAGGTAACCGGGTGTGTAGATGAGGACAATGCATTCCATGTAGTCTACTTGGACTTCAGAAGTCTTTTGTTAAGGTCCCACATGGGAAGGTTAAGAGCCCATGAGACCCAAGGAGATTTGGCTAATTGGATCCAGAATTGGGTAAGTGGTAGGAAGCAGAGGGTGATGGCTTAGAAGGAAATTTGCAGATGATGATGTTCCCAAATATCTACTGTCTTTGTCCTTCTATGTAATAGAGGTTGTGGGTTTGGAAGATGTTATCTAAGGACCTTGGTGAGTTGTTGCAATGCATCTTGTAGATACTTTTCTCATTCAAAATGGAATGAGAAAAGTATTTGCAAAGGAGGAATATAATAAAGGCCTGGGAGCATTGAGATAACAAGTCAGGGCCCTGGACATGCATACGAGAGGCCAGATTCATTTTTTTTTCTTTCCTTTATGTAGTGTTTAAGTTTTGTTCAGTTTGTTCTGTGCTGGCTGTTTTGGCAATTGAAGTACAAGCATATATACCTCTGACTCCTAGTTTACAACTCTCACCTTCATACAAAATCAAAGAACAAGAAGCCAGGGAGAAAGACAGGTTGGTTAAGAGTGCAATTGACTGCAGACTCTGACTTTATCCTGTGCAGAAGATTCTGGGTTCAGTTTCAAAGTGAGTACCAATAACAGGATTATTACTGGCTACAAATAGGGTATCAGCAATGAATTTATTGCTTTGAGTTACTATTGCTTAAGAAGTTGACTTATGAAGAAAGATTGAATTGGCTGGGCTTGTTTTCACTGGACTTTAGAAGAGCTGATTGATTGAAGTCTATAAGATTTTGAATTTATGTCTTGATGAGATAGATGTGAAAATGGCATTTACTCTTATGGGCAAGTCCAAAACTAGGGAACACAGTTTTAAATTAGAGGTCACTCTTTTAGAAGATACATGATGGGGATATTTTTTCTGTGTAAGACTTCTATATTTTTACGTGTGTGAAGAGGGAAATCTGACTGCTGCACCAACGTTAATAAACAGTAAAATATCAGTAAGTTACTCTTTCTTCCACCTCTGCTTTTCCTCTGCAAATCATTACTTTCTTGCCCTTGGTTTCCTTTACTCAGTCACAAGGCTAATGCCTGCTTCTCAGAACCTCAAGTATGTCAGCTTCTGAAATTAAACCAATACCTGAGCGTAAACTTAACCGGAAAAATGCAAAAACATATACAGGTGTGACGTGAACGGTTGTCATGTGACTTGGACATCACGTGCTCAACCCTAAACCAAGTCCTCTAGCGAGAAGGACGAGAGTCTGGTATTATGTATGTTAAGGAATGGTTCTCATTAACGTAAAAAGTCATCTAAATAATTTATTTTTTTCTGAGTTACAATAATGTTTTGAAATACTGTAACTACTGGAATTGGATCCTAATGTTTATGTTAATAAAACTGAGCAAAAGCGACATTCTTTTAATAAAACATTAAGTAGAAAGTGATCACTGCGGAACAACTATTGTGAAAGCGAAACCAGAATATTTTCAAGGGGATCACTTCCTATAGTTCGTGGACGAGTGGTCAGTGAAAACGCGCACACACACAGGCCATTACGGCGGAATTTTATTAAGGTAATGAGAATCGTCCGCCTGATCAGCGACCTAGACAGAAACACTCGAGTTTTATTATTTATCGATGAAGTTTGAGGTTATTACTGCCGAAAGGGCCAAATTTAATTGGCCGCCACCCATGGTATCTAGCATCGTGTGCGAGTGTTTCGTTTAATCCAGGAGTTTCCAGAGATTAAACTGTGTCTGCTAAATACATTTAAAAAAGTAGAATAAAAATATACACTGTGAGGCGGGGCTGCTGCGGAATACGATAGTTTTGCTCACAATCCTGCGCGATCTCGTACTCTGTTCAGTCCAGACTTTGTCAGCTCGCAAGTTTTCTGGAAGTATACAAATCCACAGAGGATATCGATTACCAAAACTCTTACCAAAAAATCACAGAAAAGCGAATGAATCTGTTGAAACCCCTTCGGATACATGAACAGGCTTGGCCAAGGCTGACTATAGGTCCGTGTAGGGAATTAGCCTGCTCTCTCTCCGCTACCAGTCAAATTTCAGCGGAAGGGCCGGCAGCAAATTGAATTCTCAATTTGAATTTTGGGTGTTTAAACGTGTTCCGGCTCACGGTATATACAGTGTATCCATGCCTAATGTCTTTTGGCATTTCTTCCTTCCGGCGAGTAAGTAAACAATGCTGAGCTGGCTTCTGTCTCAGAATCATGGCGAGCCTTCATTAAATCTTTTCAACAACAAAAACAGAAATTGCTGAAGAACCATAAGTAGGTGTAAAAGCCGTTCTCGGGTTAGTTCCAAATCATATTTTAAGAAACTGTTCCAAATTCATCCTCAAGTCTACCTTTACCAATATGATTTGTCCAAAGGTAAAATAGACAGCTACAATGGCAGCCATTTAAGGAGTTACTTTATACTCCTGAACAAAAATACATTCAATTGACAAGAAAAGACTTTGAGATGGATGGAAAAGCGATTTTCTGAGGAACGATCACTCGACCCGAAACGTCACCTCTGATTTCTATCCACATGCTGCCATATTGCTGAGCTGTTCCAGCAATTTCTGTGTTTGATTCTGATTTACAGCATCCGCAGTTCTTTTGGTTTTCACTAAATCTTCGCTTGTATAGGATGGATGATATTTTTAATGTTTATACGGTTGGAAGACATTTTTTGACATTTGATAAATAAGCTGGCCGTTAGACCAGAAAGATAACATGTTGGTGGGTATCAGAACTTTTGCAAACCGCTGAGCAGGAGAGCTCAAAATCTTGGTTTGCGCCTCTTGCTCCATGTGGCAGACCTGGAACAGTTCCAGTCCCCCGGGTCAGCATGTGTGCAGGAAGTGTCTCCAGCTACAGCTCCTGGCAGCTTGAGTTTCAGAGCTGGAGCAGCGGCTGGGGACAACATGGTGCATCCGTGAGGCAGAGAAGTGGTCACACCGCTGGCACAGACTCTGCAGGCAGGAAGGAACTGGGTGACCACCAGACGAGCAAGTTCGGCAGGTAGTACAGGAATCTCCTGTGGCCATTCCCTTGCAAAACAGATATACCACTTTGGATACTGTTGAGGGGAATGACCTCTCAGGGAAAGCAGCAGCAGCCAAACTCGTTCCACCACGGTTAGTTTCGCTACAGAGGGGAGGGGTAAAAAGTGTGCCATGGCAATGGTTATAGGGGACTCAATTGTAAGGGGAACAGACAGGCATTTCTGTGGGCATAAAGGAGACTCCAGGATGGTATGTTGCCCTGCTGGTGCTAAGGTCAAGGATGTCTTAGCAGTTATGGGACATTCTGGAGGAGGAGGGTGAACAATCAGTGGTTATGGTACACATTGGTACAAACAACATAGGTAAAAAAGAAGGGATGAGGTCCCAAAAGCAGAATACAGGGAGCTAGGAAGAAAGTTAAGAAATCGGACCCCAAAGGCAGTGATCTTAGGATTACTACTAGTGCCATGTGCTTTTCGGGGTAGAAATGACAGGATATGTCAGATGAATACATTGCTGAAAAGATGGCATCAAGGGAATAGTTTCAGCTTCCTGGGGCATTGGGACCAGTTCTGGTGGAGGTGAAACCTGTACAAATTGGATGTGTTACACGTGGCCAGGACTGGGACTGATGTCCTGGGGGAATCCTTGTTAGAGTGGTTCGGGAGGGTTTAAACTAACATGCCAGGGAGTTGGGAACCTATGTAAGGAGTCAGAGAAGGAGGGAGCAAGGAAAAACACAAAAGGTAGAAAAATGTATAAGAAAAGTGTTAGGCAGAGAAAGCAAGGACAAAATTCAAACAGTGCTATTAAGAGAAATAAGAGCAAGACAAACAATGTTAAAAAGACAAGCTTAAAGGCTTTGTGCCTTAATGCATGAGCATTTGCAATAAAGTGGATGAACTAATCCCAAAGAAAGATGTAAACGGGTACGATATAATTGGGATTACGGAGACATGGCTGCAGGGTGACCAGGGATGGGAACTGAATGTCCCAGGGTATTTGGTATTTGGGAAGGATGGGTAAAAAGGAAAAGGTGGTGGAGTGGCATTGATGCTTAAAGAGGAAATTCTCACAATAGTTAGAAAGGATATTAGCTCTGATAATGTGGAGTCCGTATGGGTAGAGTTGAGAAATACCAAGGGGCAAAAAACATTAGTGGCTGCCATATATAAACCCCCAAATTGCAGTGGTGATGTTGGGAATGGCATTAAACAGAGAGTTAGAAATGTATGTGATAAGGGAATATTGATGATCATGGGTGATTTTAATCTACACCTAGATTGGGCAAATCAAATTAGCCACAACACCACAGAGGAGGAATTCTTGCAGTGTATATGGAATGTTTACTTGGCCAATATGTGGAGGAACTAACTAGTGAGCAGGCCATCTTAGACTGGGTACTGTGTAATGAGAAGGGAATCATTGCCAGTCTAGCTGTATGAGACCCCTTAGGGATGAGCGACCTAACATAATACAATTTATTATCAAGGTGGAGAGTGAGATAGTTGATTCAGAGACTAGGGTGCTGAATCTTATTAAAGGAAACAATGAAGAACGAGGCGTGAGTTGGCCTTGACAGATTGGGGAGCGTTACTTAAAGGGATGACAGTGGATAGGCAATGGCAAACATTCAAGGAATGCATGGGGCAACTGCAACAACTGTTTATTCCTGTCTGGCACAAAAGCAAAATGGGTAAGAGGGCAAATCCATGGCTTACACAGGAAATTTAAGATAATATCCGATGCAAGGAAGCAGCATACAGATTGGCCAAGAAAAATAAAATGTCGGAGGTTTTGGAGCAGTTTAGAATTCAGCAAAGAAGGACCAAGGGATTGATTATGAAGGGGAAAATACTATGAATGTAAGCTTGCAGGGAACATAAAGACTGACGCTAAGAGTTTCTATAGGTACGTGAAGACAAATGTAGGTCCTCTACATACAGAAACAGGGGAATGTATAATAGGGGACAAAGAAATGGCTGAGCAACTGAATACATACTTTGGTTCTGTCTTCACAAAAGAGGACACAAACCAGATACCAGAAATGTTGGAGAATGCAAGATTTTGTGAGAGGGAAGAATTGAGAGAGATCAATATGAGTAGGGAAATGGTGCTGGGAAAATTGATGGGATTGAAGGAGGATAAATTGCTAGGGCCTGATAATCTACATCCCAGATTACTTCAGGAAGTGGCTGTAGAAATAGTGGATGATTGGTAGTCATCTTCCAGGATTCTATAGACTCTGGGACAGTCCCTGCGGATTGGAGGGTAGCTAATGTCACTCCAATATTCAAAAAGGGAGGTAGAGAGAAAACAGGGAATTATAGACCAGTAAGCCTAACATCGGTAGTGGGGAAAATTCTCAAATCTCTTATCAAGGACTTCACAGCGGAGCATTTATAATGCAGTGGCAGGATCAGGCAGAGTCAGCATGGATTTATGAAGGGCAAATCATGCTTGACAAATCTATTGGAATTCTATGAAGATGTAGCTAGTAGAGTTCCCAAGTGGGAGCCAGTCGATGTGGTTTATTTGGACTTTCAGAAAGCGTTTGACAAAGTCCCACATAAGAGATTATTGTGCAAGATTAAAGCACATGGGATTGGGGAAAGTGTATTGAGATGGATAGAAACCTGGTTGGCAGAGAGAAAACAAAGAGTAGGAATTAATGTGTCCTTTTCAAATCAGCAGGCAGTAACTACCAGGGTGCCACAGGGATAGGTGCTGGGACCTCATGCGACTGTCTGTGTGGAGATTGCACATTCTCCCCGTGTCTGCATGGGTTTCCTCTGATTGCTCCGGTTTCCTCCCACAGTCCAAATCTGTGCAGGGCAGGTGGATTGACTATGCTAAATTGCCCATAGTGTTCGGGGATGTTTAGGTTAGATGGGTTAGACATGGGAAATACAGGGGTAGGGGAATGGGTCTGGGTGAGATGCTCTTTGGAGGGGCAGTGTGGACTTGTTGGGCTGAATGGCCTGTTTCCATACTGTAGGGATTCTATGATTCTATGACCCCAGCAATTCACAATATATATTAATGATTTGGATGAGAGAATAAAATGTAACATCTCCAGTTTTGTAGATGATACCACGTGGGTGGGAGGGTGAACTGTGATGAGGATGAAGAGATCCTTCAGCATGATCTGGACAGGTTGGGTGAGTGGGCAAATCAATGGTAGACGCAGTATAATTTGGATAAATGTGAGGTTATTCACTTTGGAAGCAAAAACAAGATGGCAGATTACTACCTGAATGGCTGTAAATTGGGAGAGGGGAGTGTGCAGCAGGACCTGGGTGTCCTTGTGCACCGGTTGCTGAAGGTAAGCATGCAGGTGCAACAGGGGGTAAAGAAGGCAAATGGTATGTTGGCCTTCATTGCGAGAGGTATTGAGTACAGGAGCAGGAATGTGTTGTTGCAGTTATACAGGACCTTGGTGGGGCTACAACTAGAGTGTTGTGTGCAGTTTTGACCTCCTTTTCTGAGGAGGTATGCTCTTTCTTGCAGGAGTGCAGCGAAGGTTTACCAGGCTGATTCCAGAGATGGTGGGATTGACATGTGAGGAGAAATTGTCTAGGTTAGGATTGTTTTCGCTGGAGTTCAGATGAATGAGGGGGGATCTCATAGAGACTTATAAAATTCTAACAGGACTGGACAGAGTAGATGTAGGGAGGATGTTCCAGATGGTGGGTGTGTCCAGAACCAGTGGTCACAGTCTGAGGATTCAGGGGAGACCATTAAGGATGGAGATGAGGAGACATTTCTTCATCCAAACAGTGATGAGCCTCCGGAATTCATTACCATGGGAAGTAGTCGATGCCAAAACATTGAATGTATTCAAGAGGCAGCTAGATATAGACTTGGGGCAAATGGGATCAAAAGTTCTGGGGAGAAGGCAGGATTAGGCTATTAAGTTGGATGATCAGCCATGATCGTATTGAATGGCGGAGCAGGCTTGAAGGGCTGAATGGCCTCCTCCAGCTCCTATCTTCAATGTTTCTATATTGGCCTTTTAAAATAAAAACATCAAGTCAAACTTGAAGCTTTAATGAAGAATGCTAATTTTAGCTCAAAGAAGCTGGTTGCAACAGTTATGTAAAGTCCTGACAATGCGCAGCATTTTAATTTCAGTGGAATCACATAACTTAGTACATGTATTGACCTCTTTCCTATAGGCAACGTACACCAGAATTGAGGGGTTGTGTCTGCTGCAAAAGGACGAAAAGGCTGATCTTTAAAGTTCTTGTCAACTAGAGAAAACAAATGGGTGTTCCAATAGTGGTGTATAAATAGCTAAAGATATTGATAAAGTTGATGAAGGAAGATTGAAATAAAGACCTCCACAGGTACCTACAGAGAATTAAGAAGAAACTTATATGAGAGAATGGTGAGAATATGGGGAACACATTACCATGGAGTGTAATTGAGGTGGACAGTATAGATGTGCTTAAATTAAGGATAAGCTGGATAACATAGGCTACAGAATGGAATAGATGGTTAAGCTGATGAAGTTAGATGTGGAAGATTCGGAGGAGTCATGAGTTGGGCATTATTGTCAGCTTGGACTTAAATGGACTTCTTTCATTCTTTACATATGTACCCTAATCGAAAACTGATTTACCCCTTTTTTTCATATGGAAAACATGATGCACTGTTTAATAATTAGCATCGAAATGAACAATGTGCAAGTGTTTTTCTAAGAAATGCGGTGAAATTTACAACACTACCAAGAACATTTGAGGTTGGTAGCTTTGCTAGTAAAGGATGAGATCAATGATGAAAAATGATCTTGGTTCAGAAGATCATTAGGATCAGTTTTGATAAAGTGAAGAAAAATTAGCATGTGTAAGATGTCACTGCTGAGAGAGTAGCTATATTGTAGGACAAAGTACAAATGAAGAAATACTGAGGCTTGTAACAAAGGTACTGCAATAATCATGGACAATTTTAATCTTTTTACAAATTGGCCAAATCATTTTGGTAAATGTAGACTTGAGGATGAATTCATCGTGAATTTGGAACAGTTTCCTAAAATATGATTTTGAACTAACTACAGAGCGGCTTTTAGATCTACTTATGTATAATTAGTGGTTAATTAATAATTTCAAAGTAAAAGCTCATGTAGGGAAAAAAAAAGAATTTCACATTCATTTAGAGATGGGGATCTTGAATCTGAAATGTGTATCTTAAACTTGCTAGCAGTTAGCTGAAGTAAACCAGGAAAATAGATTATAAGGTAAAACAGATAAACAGCTACAATGGCAGACATTTAAGGAGTTATTTTATACTCCAGAACAAAAATATATTCAATTGATTAAAAAAAGACTTTGAGATGGATGAAATATCTATGACTGAGGAAGTTAACAATGGTACTAAATGGATAGACAAGGTATACAAAGACTTGGCAACTTAGTTGTGATATTGCTGGGCTAGTCATCCAGAGGGTCAGACTAATCCACTGGGGGCGTGCGTTCACATTCTGCCACAACAACAAGTGGAATTTAAATGCAATTAACAAAGCCTGAACATAAAGCCAGTCTCAATAGTGGTGACCATGATGCAATAATCAACTTTGCAAATCCATTTGGTTCAGTAACACCATTAGGAAAGGAAATCTCCTGCCCCTACTTGATCTAGTCTACATGTGATTCCAGACCCACAGCAGTGTGGTTAACTCTTAACTGTCCTTTGAAATGGCCGAGAAATCCACATCGTTTAATGGCAATTAGTGATGGACAACCCACATCCTACAAAAGAAATAAAAGAAAATGTTGTTAAGATTGGCAAAATTTTAATATCCAGCAAAGGACTGAATAGAGGAAGAAATTACGTTGAGAATAAAGAAAGCACAAAATCTAAAAACAGTAAGAGTTTCTATAAGGGTCGAGAAAGGAAAGGTATAGCTACAATAAGTGTTGCTGCTTACAAAATGAGGTGGGAATTTTTTTTTAGCCTTCATGGTAGAAGCTAGTAAAAGCATCCCAATATTAGTAGATATAGTGCTTGGAGGCGAGGCTGTTGCGCTGCAGCTCTCATACAATTGTTGCTGACTATGAGTCTCTCCCACTATTACCACTTATCAATGGTGGAAGAATTTTCATGTTGATAATCAACAGTGCCATGTTACGCATATACTTTGACTGTTTAATCCTGGTGGATCAGAGGCCTATATAGAAGACCCCCTACTGTTGTAAACGTTGCTGTTTCTCAATTCTACCCAGACGTTTCCATGCATCTCATCATATTCTTTGTTACCATTGAAGTGATTTAATCCTTGATCAATAAGGCTAGTCCTTTAATGCCTCTTCCCTATCTTTGCTGTGGAATTTATAATCTTGTATATTTAATTCTCAGACCTGCCCATTTAGCAGCCATGTCTCAATAATGCTACTATGTCATATCTTCTCAACTAAATTTGCACTTGTTATTTGTTAAATTTGTTCCTGGTACTCAGTGAATTATTGCAAATGATGCTGATTTCAGCCACAAACTGTAATTTATCCTGGTGTACTAATGCTTTTCGTTTACATTCTTTTTCTTTCCTGTTCTAATCATTTCTTATGTTTTGGGTTTTCCCTTTACCTGTATTGTATGAACCATAATTTTTGACTGTTACACTATTCATTTAAAAAAAAACTATTATTGATACACCTTTCCAGTTGCACATTCTTATCATGAACCACAACAACTGAATCTTCCCCTACCTCTCCAACAATCTGTCAAGGGATCCAAGATGTGTCTTTGCTGTTGGCCAATATTGCGTAATTTCTGAACCATGCCTAAATCATTAAGTTCCCGTTGAATGGTATAGTGGACATCAAAGTAAAAGTTAACTTAATAATTTGGCAGGGGATGGACATGCCCAGATTCATGGTTGATGTGATATGAGGTTAAGCATATATCAGCATGTACCAAAAAACAAACAAAAAACTTATCTGATGTTATGCTATGGACCATGTACAAGTGTATCTGAATCACAATCACTTTGCACATATATATTATAATAACCAACACCTTGACCTCTTTCATGTACATTATTTGAATTAATTTTAAATTATTATTAATTGATCAGTCAAATATGACCCAATTCTGAATGTGCAATATGCTGTTCAAGAATACAATGCGAAAGTCACTATCAAGCATGAGCGCTATCTAGCATAAAAGCAACCAGTGCATAACCCAACCAAAGTAGTAAAGTTGGAGTTACCTTTCTGAATCACCAATCTCATATTGAAATAGTTAAAATTTACATTGGTAGTTTGAGTAGTTTGTACATTTTCTGCACATATATACTCAAACTTAACATCTGAATATCATCTAATTGTACATTAACTCCAGTAAAAAATAGGAAGAGAATTTACAGTATGCCAATTCTGGCTTATTAACTCAATACTTTTCTATTGTAGGTCTGTGGAAATAAATGCGTTGATGAGATTGGTGTATACCCACAAGCAAGTTTTGGTTCTGTACTCCTATACGGTTGCATTTAAACAAATTTGGAAGTACTGGTGAAGGCCTTATAAAGGTCACTTGGTAGCTATATCCAATATTACACAGGCTTTTAAACATGGATTAACTTTCGACAAAAATATAAAATGGGGAACTTTTGTTGTGGAAATCCTTCTCACCATAGTGAACAAGAACCTGGATTGCAAAATGAGCGGGAAGCTTTATTAAGTTCGTGCAGCTCATGTGTTGTTAATGAACAGATAACATCTCCACAGAACTCTGTTTTCAGCCAGAATACGACCGAACTGCAAAATAAAATTGGCAGTGCAGATATTTGCAATAATGGTGCTGTTGCAACAAAGAGGTAAATTGCCTTTTCTTCAGTACTAGTGATTCCATCTTTTCATCAGTTTCATTGCTATTTCATGGCAAAGTTTATATTAGATTAGTAAAATGATCTTAGTTATTGTTAATTGTAAACCTCTTGTTTTATTCGCTTGTGGGGTGTGGGTATCACTGGTTGGCATTATTGCCATCTCTAGTTGTCCTTGAGAAAGTGGTGGTGAGCTGCCTCCTTAAAAGGCTGTAACCCATGTGCTTTAGGTAGAGGGAAGTAATATATTTAAAGCAATTATTTCATTCCCTTTAAATTGTACTCGTTATTCAACTTTTAGGCAGATAATAGAAATTTATGTTGACTGTCCACCCAGCATTGCTTTACAACTGCAAACTGTCTTGGTTCACTGGGTAGCACGCTCATCTCTGACACAGGTGGCTGCGAGTTCAAAGCCTGACACTCTGGCTGCCCACTCTAAAACAGCTCTAAGGGAATGCTGAGATAACAAGGTGTAG